GAAGAGACTATTCCACAAAAGGTTGAAGTACTCTGACAACATTTGTCAGACACAATGTGCATTTGCCAAAATGGCATACTTTAATCCCTTTTCTCTGCATCAAACAAAGCAATGGTGGAGTACTGTATTCCTGTGCGCATATTTATTTAAAGGGCAACATACAACACTATGTTTAATCTTACAAAGACTATTGAGTAAAAGATGCGAAAGAATACATATACTATGAGTCTACTCATAGAAGGTACAAAACCAGGCAAATGTTAATTTTTTTTTTATTTTGGATGGGTATATAAAGTGGTAAAATCATGAAGAATAACAAGGAAATGATCATCATAAAGGGCATGGTAGTGTTATCACCAAGGTGGAGGAGGTGGAGTGGGAAGAAGCAGGGAGTTACGATCCAGAAAGGACACACAAGGAATTTCTGGGGTTGCTAGTAGTGGAAGTTCATTTTATAATAATTTGTTCAACTGTGTATTTGTTTTATGCACTTATTATATCTCACACTAAAAACATGGCTCTATGCAGAAACAATATGATTATTTCTATAGATCAGAGGTAGAACAGAAAACCATAATAACAACTATAAATGGAACTTCCAGATCTAGAAATAAGTAGAGACAACTGGGAATTTGACCTCCCTGGTAGTTCTTTCTTGGACTTCTTTGCTGATTTCTCCTCTTTGACATTGATCCTCTTCTTTTTTCTGGTTACTTATTCACTCTGTTGATCTCAAACAGTCTCATGATTTTACATACCATCTATATGCTAGTAACTCCCAAACTTAACATCTCTGCTTCTTCTTCTTTTTTTTTTTTTTAATTTATTTATTTGACAGAGAGATAGAGAGCACAAGTAGGCAGAGTGGCAGGCAGAGAGAAAGGGAGAAGCAGGCTCTCTGCTGAGCAGGGAGCCCGATGCGGGGCTCGATCCCAGGACCCTGGGATCATGACCTGAGCTGAAGGCAGCCGCTCAACCGACTGAGCCACCCAGGCGCCCCTCTGCTTCTTCTAAGTTAATTCTAGACTCATATATATTCAACTACCTTTTCAACAGCTCCACTTGGATATTTAATAGGTATCTTAAATTTAACATGTAAAAACTGAATTCATGAACAAAATTGAACTCAAGGCTGTTCTACCCTTTGCCTTCCCCATCTCAGTTGAGAGCAATCATATCTGTCTTGCTCGGGTCAAAAGCCTTGAAGCCATCCAAGACTCTTTCTTTTACATCTTCCATCTAATCCATCAGGAATTCCTGTTTACTTTACCTTAGAATACAGCCAGAATGCGACCCCTTCTTGCCACATCCACTGCTACTACCTTGATTGAAGCCCACTATCATTTCTTGCTTTGATTTACCACAGAAACCTTCTAACAGATCTTCTTGCCCTTATCCATGCTCCCCTTCCCCTGATCAATTCTCAGTAGAGTAGCTGGTAATACAGGTATCTCCTGCATTTTGCAAGTTCACATTACACCACTTGGCTTTTATGAAGGACCGACATTAGTACTTGTTTTCACTAACTGGAAGAAATCTGAAGACTTCTGCTTTTACAAAAAAGAGTGAAAAGTGACAATAACGTTCTGAGCTTGTTTTGCAGCGAGCTTTTAGAAGCAGTACACATCCTCGAGCAGTGAGAGTGGTGCCGTTCCTTCCCTGAGAACTGCATTCAGCCTCTCAGCATCAAGCCACCATAACTTTGAACTGTGTCTGTGAGCATCTGTACTTTATCTCCATTTACTTTGTGCATCCCTTAGCAAGATGTGTCCTAACATATCAGAAAAAAAGCCTAGGAGAAGTTATTTTTTGACTCTAGGAACACGAAAGATTTTTGCCACGTAAATTAATGGTAATTGCTTCTTTGCTTTATGCCATTTTGGCTTATGAAAATTTTAATAGGAACTGTGTACTTTGAGAATGCTGGGGAAACCTGTACTTATAAAACATAGGTAGGATCACAGTACTCCTTTGTTTAAGACATATCTCTGGTTCCATGGTTTACACATAGGAAAAGCCAGAGTGCTTTTTATAATGCCCAGTATGATTGTGCCACTCTTCTTCTTTGACCTCATTTCTTCTCTCTTCCTCAGTATACTCCAACCACACTAGCCTCTTTGCTGTTCCTCGAATATACTAGGCCTGCTTCCTACCTTTGAGTGTTTGCACTGGCTGCTTCCTTGCCTGAAACACTCCCCCCACCCCATAGTCACCTAGCTGGCAGCTTGATTTAAAATTGCAACTCACATTTCAGTCTTCCTTTCCCACTCTACTTTTCTTTTTTCCGTAACAATTCTTATAGATTCTTAATAATTCTAACAAACTACGTGAATTACTTACTTATTGTGTCTATTATTTATTATCTGTATAACACCCTAAACTATAAGTTCTGGGAGGGCAGAAATATTTATCTAAGCTTGCTTACTTATATATCCCAAATGCTTCAAGTAATGCCTGGCATATAGTTTGCATTCACTTATTTTTTGAATGAATTTATACAAGATAATGAACCAAAAGCACTCCATCTTGGCGGGGCCCTGGAGTCAGCCTCATGGTCTGAACTAGAGTATAGGTGGGCACTAAACCTCCTGTGAAAAAGGCTAGAAAAAGTGGCCACTGATGCCTGCAGCTTAGGCTTGTATAGAACTGCATTTCTGTTTTCTTGTCAGGGCTAGAGAAAATGCTGCCCATATGCTCAGTAATACTGAGGATTTAACAGCAGCATATGAGTTCTGAGCAGCTGATGTGAGACTGGGTTCTGGACTTGGAATCCTTGGCTGGGGAGCCAGACATGGGAGTAGATGGAGGCAGCCAAAAAAGCCCCTGGGTCAAAGCTGGGAGAGGGCTAACTGTGTGAGAAATGAGAGCAAAACGTGAGATGGCTGAGCAGAGAAGAGCTGTGGAGGCTTAAAGCTTTGGGAGGTGGGGGGAAGAAAGGGAGGGATGCAGTGATTAGCAGTATAGGAGATGTGCTGGGATGGTGAGTGTTAAAGGGAAATTAAAGAATTTATTTCCTCTGTTTATAAGTATTTGTAAATGTTATAGACCTCCTCTGTTTTTTCTGTGAAATCTTAGATAAAATTTGGATTGCTTTGATGTAAGTGAATTCTTCCCAGAGAATGGAAAGACATTGTGTATCCTGAGTCATAGTTGGCACAGGGTAAGAATAGACTGCATGTGGGGATATTTGACATCTGGATTACATGTAATTAGGAGGAAGTGATAGGACTTAGTGATGGATTGGGATAACGGACAGGAATTTGGCAATGAGATCATTGGTGACCTTGGAAAGAGCAGTCTCTGTGGAATGGTAGGTACAAAAGCCAGAATAGAGTGAGCTGGAGTGTGAGAAAGACAGCCCATACAGACTGTTTGTTCAAGAAACTTAATTGACCGGAAGAGAATTTAGGGTTAAGGGATTATTTTTTCAAAGTGCTGTTACTAGAACTTGTTTGTATGCTGATGAGAAGGAATCATAAGAGGGGTTGGAGAAAAGAAAGGAGAGAAGGGGGTGTAGATACAGGTAGATTCATAGTTTTTGCGGTATATATAGGTATAGTGGCATTGTTTATGGGGCAGCTACTGCTTTGGCAATGCTGTAAAACACACCAGTGTTAGTAAAGTGTAGATTATTAGTGTCTTCTTTAAGGATACAGGGCCAGAGCTTCGTAGGTAATTTTTGACCCTCGGCAAGGGAGCCAAGGCTCTCCACTGTAATTTGAGAGTTGTAGAATTTGAAGCTATTTAGATGTGGGCATTCCAATAAGTTCACAGTACTATTTGAGATATGTAGGATATAATCTCATCCATATGGAGCAGCATAAGGTTCTTGTCTCCTCCATGAAGACTCTGTAAAGCAGTAAATAACTAATTCACCCTAACTTGATTGCTTCTACCATGACATGAAACAGAACTTTATTGGAGTTCAGAAATCAATTTCACCTATGTGTTCTAAAACTGCAGAGCAGGTTTCATGTTTTATTAATCTCTTTATCACCAGATTATACTTTCTGTACAGTGGATTCTCAGTAATCATTTGTTGAAATTAATCAATGCTAGATAGTTTTGAGGAATTATCCCATAAGCAGCAAAACTTTTAAAATTGTAAACATTCAGGATAGCAATTTTCTAGATGTTTATGCATCGTTCTTGACTTTCTAATATAAATTGAACAAAGTTTAACCCTCTGAAGATTTTGGGGAATCAGGGTTCAGATGCTAAAGTCTACAAATAACCTCAGAGCTCATCAAAATGTATAGGACTACTTATCCTAATATTGAATGGCTTAGCCTACTGGGCATTTGTTTTGTGAAGTTTTAGTTTTTCATTTTATTCTGCATCTGATTTTAGCTGCTGTTTTTCCCCCCTTCATTTTCTGCTGCTTCTTTGTTTTCATTTTAAAGATCTTTTTTATTTTTAAGTAATCTACACCTAATGTGCAGCTTGCCTTACAACCCCAAGATCAAGAGTCCCATGTTCTACTGACTGAGCCAGCCAGATGCCCCTCATTTTCTGCTTCTAATCAGATTAATCTATTGATGAATCTGTTTGGAAAATTACATATTTTAGAACTGATAGAATAAATAGATTCTAAAGGACTCTTCTGGGAATAAGGCTATGCACACTGGTGTATGGACTTCTCCATTCTATTCTTTCACTTCTTTAGCACCTTTTGGGGGTCAGCAATATAATAAGTGCAAAGGCATAACTTTATCCTTATCTTCAAAGAGTTCAGGGTTAATCTCTCTTAGCAACTCAGGCCTTTTTGTGATGATTCTCAGCTATATTTCAAGTAATAGTCCTTTTTCTTTTATTTTAAGGTTTGAATGATGTATTTTGCATATAAGTAATAAGGGTAGGAGTTAAATAGTTGTTTTAGGGATCTTAATTCAGTCTTATATGGAATTTTAACTGGAATTTTAAGATTTGTTTTAAGACCAAGTTTACAAAAAAAAAATAAAGATAATAAAGTGTATGTCTTTCCTTTTTCTCTCCTATAGGAAATACAGATGAAGAGGACTGCAATTGAAGCTTTTAATGAAACAATTAAAATATTTGAAGAGCAGTGTCACACACAAGAACAACATAGCAAAGAATATATTGAGCGATTTCGCAGAGAGGGGAATGAAAAGGAAATTGAACGGTAAATCTACCTAACCCTTCCAAGTGCTTCAGTGAGATGAGACTTCTTTTATTCCCCAATAATCTCTTTTGTGTTTGCTTTTACCCCCTTAAATGTCATATATGGAACTATTTGCTGTTCTGACTAATGGCATCACACTGAACCTTCTCTTTTCTGTGTTCCTTCTACATCCTTCCAAATTTTTAACTCCTGCTCATCCTTTGCATGACTTTTCTAAGAAAAGTCCGTGATGCTCACTGAATTTTTGTTGAACTGAAAATCAGCAGCACTCTGAGAATAAATTGGAGGCTGAAAAAATCCACGGGCAGGAAGACCAGCTTGACTGTTGCGAGTGACGGCAGTGTTGAGTGGTCATCAAGTTAAATGATGGTGAGGGCCTGAACCAGAGCAATGGCAGGAAAGGAGGGGGAACTAATGGAAATGCTGAGGACTTGATACCTGACCAGATATGATAGGTGTGGGAGAAGTCAAAGATTATTCCTAGATTTCTGATATGAATGAATAAGGAATGATGTTACTCACCACAATAGGAAGTGCATGAGGAAAGTTCAGGGTTGGAACCAATGAGTTTGAGGTTCCTGTGAGAAAACAAATGGAGTTGTCTGAGAGGCAGACAGCTGGTTATTTGGTTTTGGAACTCAAGGTACAGAAAGGATTTGGGAGGCATAAGTGTGTAGGTGATAGGAGATGCTAAGAAGATTATAGAGAGTGAGCAGCATGAGAAGTATTGGGTCTGGCAGCTAAAATGATATTGGAAGTCTTCACCATAGCATATTTAGTGGAATGTTGGGAGACTGAGCCAGATAATAGTGGGCTGAGGAATGAAAAAGTGGATAATAAATAAAAATGAATCATCTGCAAGGGAAAAGCAAAATTGTTTCTCATATTAGCACCAAAGTGTCAGTGAACTTCTGTGTGCATAAGAATAGGGCTAAGAGCTGTTGAGGCAGTATAGCTTAATGGTTAAAACCATGGGCTTGACTTCTGTATTGATCATTTACTAGCTGTGTGACCTTGGGTAAGTTACTTAACTCTCTGAGCCTGTTTCCTCCTCTATAAACTGTAGATAATAACTTTTTAAAATGCTGTGAGAATCAGGTGATAGATACACACATGCATATTTATGGTACAGAAAGGCATGTGTGTGTATGTATGAATGTATCTTGGCATATGATATCAATAAATAGCTATTATTATTAACAAGGGTTAGAAAACAACTTGTAGTTTTGTTGCAAAGGAAGTAGCTGATGATGAAGTTTTAACAGTAATATAAAACCATATTTTTTGAGTGGCAAATGAGTGATGTGGACAGTTACTGCCTTCAGAGCACAGCAAAAGTTTGTATGCTGGAAAGCTTATAGTCATTATCTGCTGAGTGCTTGCCAAGATGTACCAGGCACTGTTTGGTCCTTTTACATGTATTATCACATTTAATTCACATAATAATTTAGTGAAGTGGGTACTATTATAGCTACCCATTTTAAACAGATGAGGAAATGAAGGCACAGAGAAGCTGAATAACTTGCCCGTGGCCATGCAGTAAGTGGCAGGGCAGAGATTCAGACTTAGGCAGGCTGACTGCAAAGCTCTGCTCTTAACTGTTGTATCGTGCTACCTCTTGAAGATCATCCATACAGCTTTACTTGTTCATTCGTGTCTGGATCCAGGGCCCAAACAAGGCCATCAGGATTTTCTCTCATACTCTGTCTTTTGCCTTTGTTTTTCTCTGTGTTGGCATCATCCTCAGGCAGGCTTTTTCCCTATGGGGTAGCAGTATAGTTGCTGGGAGTCCTAGAATCACATATTTATAGTTTAGCAATCTCAGTGAGAAGAGAGAATCTCTGTTTACAGTAGTTCTAGCAAACCAGAATTGATTCTCGTTGGGTCAGTTAGGGTATTATTCCCATTCCTGAATCAGTCCCTGTGGCCTGAGGGTAGCGATAGGATATAATGGAATACTCTTAATGGCTGGGCTGGGTTGTATGAATATTCACCTGTGACTCTGAGATGGGGGCAGGGAGCCCTTTCCTACAGGGAACATCAGGGTGCCATTACCAAAAGAATGAGAATGGATATGGGCTAGGCAAAAACAACAGATGTCTACCACACTTAAGATATTAGGACTATGCTCACATTATAGAATGTTTCTGCTTGGTTCCTGTTTTAGCCTCAATATGTCAATATTTTCACAGAATTATGATGAATTATGACAAATTGAAATCACGTCTGGGTGAGATTCATGATAGCAAAATGCGTCTAGAGCAGGATTTGAAGAAACAAGCTTTGGACAACCGGGAAATAGATAAAAAAATGAACAGTATCAAACCTGACCTGATCCAGCTGCGCAAGATCCGAGATCAGCACCTTGTGTGAGTAGTCTGGGCCTGTATGGGAGGAAACACCAGCACCAGATTACTGCTGGCACTAGACTTGTTAGAGGTAGAAGAGATTTGTAATTGAGAACTGGCCAGTGAGATTTGTAAGAATTTAGGAAAGCAAACTTGGTAGTACTTGGTGGTACCTGAGTTTACCTAAAGTCAACATGTGGGGCAAACCAGAATGTAGCATTCTAGATTCCATTCCATACAAATGGGAAATCTCAGAGGATGGGTGTGGCATGAGCAATGTGGTGTAGCTTAAAAAGGACAGGTTAATGTTTGCCTAAATACAAAAACCAGAATCTTTGATTACATAGAACCACAGAAATAGAAATTACCCTTCATGAGCACAGACAATAACACTAATAGTGGGGGCCTACAAATAAGTCTACAGGACAGTCTCCTAAAGGATTTTTATATACAAGAAATGAAATTCTGTATTCAAGTAATAGAAATGTGCCAATAGCAGGCATGCAAGATAATCTGACCTGAGGAATGAAACTCAACTCTTTAATATTATAGAAAACTGTATGATTTAGATAGATATAGGGATATTACTCAAATATAGATTGGAAGATATATTATCAGAACAAGATGATAGATTTTTAGGACAAATGACTATCTTATAGGAGAGAATCCATGAGAAACAAAAATATGTTTTGTTCTAGGTAATGAATAGACTGCTACAAAATATGTTTATAGGTGACTTTCATGCATGTAACACAACTTGATTCAAACTCTTTGTAGAACACAAAATAAAGACCTCTGACTGGATTTTCCATAGGCTTCAGGGTTTCTTTTTTTTTTTTTTTTTAAAGATTTTATTTATTTATTTGAGAGAGACAGAGATAGTGAGAGAGAGCTTGAGCAGGAAGGAGGGGGAGAAGCAGGCTTCCCGCGGAGCAGGGAGCCCGATGCGGGGCTCGATCCCAGGACCCCGGGATCATGACCTGAGCCGAAGGCAGAGGCTTAACCATCTGAGCCACCCAGGTGCCCCAACTTCAGGGTTTCTTTGTATGAGAAAGGGAGAGGGGAGAAAAAAAAAGCTTAGAGGTGGGGACAGTGGCTATTGAGTTTCAGTAGAATAAAATTTAAGGTGATAAGTTTTGGGGGCAAACAATTAGAACTATGCTGTGCTGAGTAGTTTTTAATAACTCCTTTCTAGAGATCATTTCAGTTTGCTATTGTGGACAAAAAACAAAAGTCAAGCAAGTACACATAGCATACAGAAGAGCCTTGGAAACAAGGCAAGGAGGTACCTTGTCTAAAATCAGGGTGTGTCTGTTCTCAGAAAGCTTATGTGATTCTGGTTATATAATGAAGCTGAAGAAGGCCCAAGAAGAAGGCTTATGCCACGGACCAAAGGAATGAATGGAAGCTCTTGTTTGCTCTGGAAAGTGATGAGATTATTAAAAAATACACCATCCCAAGAGGCATGAATAAGTGTGGCAAACTAGACCTTGAAAGTTCCTTTAACAAATTATGTAAACTTAATATAAAAGAGAGTTTAGATAACATCATGGGTGATAAATCATGATCTGCTAGCAAAGATAACTAGGGTTTTTAGGGAGATATTTATTGAGTATCTACTATATGCTGGCACTGTTTTCAGCATTGGGAATAGCCATGAACAATAGGACAGACCCCTTTCTTACATTTTAGTGGGGGAGACAAACATAAGTGAAAATATAAAATAATGAATTTCAGGCAAGTGCTATGAAGATGATAAAATAAGGTAAAATATAGAAAATGAGTGACAAGGGGACTGCCTTAGTTGGGATAATTAGGGCAGTCCTCCCTGAGGAGATGATGTTTATGATGAGACCTGAATGATCGGAGCCTGGTTGGAGGATGGTAATGAGTGAAAGAGTTTTTATACTCACTTAGATTTTTAGACCAGTGGCCATGTCAGTGGAACTAAATTTAATGGTATGTTGTTTTACATTTATTAAAGTTTTGGTATATTTTAAAATACTATGATTTGCCTAGTGATGAGGGAAATTTATATTAATTACTCAGATTGCCATCCTGAATTTCTTGTGGCTTGCTTAGGTACAAGCTTGCTTAGGTACTTGTTTTAGAATGTTTAACTCAATGTAGTGGGCCACACAGGAATTGAGTCTTCTGGCTTAGTGGAGATTGCAAATGTGACACCATGCTCACATAACTAATGATTTCAGAAACAGATGTCCCCATGTGTTTAAGTGAAAGTATATGTGTGCTTATGGTGGTACAAACTTCTAGAAAAGGAAAATGAAAAATGAGAGAAGTGCCTAATTTCAGATAACTCCCTGTGTTTCTGCTTTTTTGTGGAAAGTTGGAGGAAAAGTTAAGGAGAAACTAGTTTAAGGAAGTCTCTGGCCACTTTTAGTGGGAGTGGGTTAAAATAAGAGGTTCCTGGACTTTGGAAATTTGGTTGGCTTGGACATGTCTGCATTAGGCAGAGTTTGCACAGATAGTGACACTGGTGTCTTCCTTCTGGCAGATGGCTCAATCACAAAGGAGTGAGACAGAAGCGCCTAAATGCCTGGCTGGGAATCAAGAATGAGGATGCTGATGAGTAAGTTCTCTACCTTTCTATCAGAGGGGTTTTGTTCCCAATCTAAGATGTGGGGCTTCTTTATACATGCTAAATGTTGGCTCTCATTGTCACTTGAGGACATTGAATCAAGAACTTTGCCACCTCTTTTAAATTGAATTGAATTGTAGAGTAGAGTACCCTACAGGCACTTGAGGTCAGAGACCTGCTGAGCCACATGAAATCTGGGTGCATAAGCATTGCTCATTCAGACATTCTTTGTCAGCTGATTGGATGAGAGGTGTGAATTTCGTGTTTTCTGCACCATAGCAAATAACAAAGTTGTTAAAAAACGTCCCAAGTAATTGTAGTTTTATTTTGTCATTTCGTGGTTAAAGATTTAGAAGAGTGTTTTATTCATGAGTTTGCATTTAGATGTAAGTAACCTGGTTGTTAGAATAATATTTTAACATTTAATTTTTAGGACCTATTTTATCAATGAGGAAGATGAAAACCTGCCCCATTATGATGAGAAAACCTGGTTTGTTGAGGATATCAATCGAGTACAAGCAGAGGACTTGCTTTATGGGAAACCTGATGGTGCATTTTTAATTCGTGAGAGTAGCAAGAAAGGATGTTATGCTTGCTCTGTGGTGTAAGTCTTCTCTGCGGTTTAACCTTTTGAAAATTTCTGCATTGATTAATAGAACTCAACCCCTCATAAAATTCAAAAAATTAAAAATTATTTGAAGTACAGTAATGAGGACCAATGGCTTAGACCTTTAATATTTGTATAAAGAAAACAGTTAGTTGCTTTAGGAGAAATGATATCTGAAATTATTTGGGGGATTTTAATTTCAAATGGTAAGCAGATTAGCCCTGTGATGTTGCTGTTGGATTTTCAGGTACTTGTGAAAAGTAATGAGATCTTCAATTGAAAGATCGCCTAAGGAGGGGTGCCTGGCTGGCTTAGTCAGTAGAGCGTGTGACCCTTGATCTCAGGGTCATCAGTTCAAGCTCCACATTGGTTGTGGAGCCTACTTTAAATAGATAAATTAATTGAAAAAAATTTTTTTAAAAATCACATAATTTTGTAGTCGTCTCCTGTATGTCTAATTTGGGCTTCAATGTCTGTTTAAGTAAGGCTTGATTAAGAACTGTTTTTACTTCAGAAGAAAAACTATCTAAATTTTATACTTAAGTAGTTTTCTTTTGGGGTAGTGATTGAAAATGTTGGTATTTTCCATAAGATGATCTTATGACTTTGTTTGGAAAAGTCTATTTTATTAGTTTCCATCCATCCATCCATCCATCCGTTTATTTATTTACTTATTTATTTAGATTTATTTATTTGAGAGAGAGAGTAAGTGCGTGGCAGACTAGGGGGAGGAACAGAGGGAGAGACTCTTCAAGCAGACTCCCTGCTGAGCACAGAGCCCGCCGTGGGGCCTGATCCCACGCTACAACCCATGAGATCACGACCTGAGCTGAGATCACTAGTCCGATCCTTAACTGACTGAGCCACCCAGGTGCCTCTATTAGTTTCTTTTTAATGGAAAGTGAAATTCTGGGGACAACTAACCATGTCTGTCACATTTTGCCTAAGTGTTGTGTATACTCCTTCATTGACAAAGACCATACTTAGAGTGAAGGTATATTATGATTGTTATGAGAGCAAGCTTTGGTACCAAATATATTGCATTCAAATCCTGACTCTACTTACCAGATCTGTGACCTAGGGTAAATTACTTAACCTTTCTTTGTCCAGTTTCCTTATCTGAAAAATAAGGATAATAATATGTACTTGAGGGTTTTTATAAGTATTAAATTAGTTAATACATGTAATGTGCTTTGATCAATGTTGGTACATAATAAGTGAATGTTGTCTACCAGTATTATTATGATAATGATGCTACTGATGGACATGGCAGAAAGCAAGCAAAAATAACAAAATGATTTTGCCCTTAAAGAGGGCAAGGTGGTGAGAATGGACAAAAGACACTCATATTAACAGAGTGCCCAGTGTTTCATGTGATTATCTCGTCCTTAGTTGGTCTATGGAGTCGGAGTTTGAATCCAAGTTTACCTGGTTTCAAAGCCCACGTTTTTCTGTTGCACCATATTTTTTTCATTTCACAATTAAATATCCAAGATAAATAGAATCACTGTGAAATAGGTATCATCAGTAGGCTGTACACATGAACTATTAATTCTGGTGGAGAAGGAGAGGGTTGGGAGATTTTGTGGAAGAGGTAGCATTTGAACTGGACTTTGAAAGGATGAATAATGGGATATCTATGGGCAGAATATGGGGGAGGACATGAAAAGTGCATTGGATTACTGTTTTACAAAGATACAATTATTTTAAATATTTTTAAAAGATTTATTTATTTGAGAGAGAGAGTGAGAGTGGGAGTGAGTGAGCACGCAAGCAGGGGGAGAAGCAGACGGAGAGGGGAAGCAGACTCCCCACTGAGCATGGAGCCTGACTTGGGGCTTGATCCCAGGACCCCAAGATCATGATGTGAGCTGAAACCAAGAGTCAGATGCTTAACGGACTCAGCCACCCAGGTGCCCCTACAATTATTTAAAACATTTCTTTTTTCTCTTACCCGGGCTGCTTAAGTTACCTGAGTGGAAATGCCCAGACAGGGTGGTTCTTACAGAAATTGAGATCTTTTAAAAATAAAAAGAAGAAAGGCAATAAGCCCAGTGCATTGGTACCCTCACCCAGGTCATTGGGTGGCAGCCTGTGGGTCAAGGACTTGGCTGGTGGAAGATACTGCCCAGCAGCTCAGGTAATTCCTGGGAGACCAAGGAGCAGCTTGAGTATCTTGAGGAGGTGTATTCTTTTTCTCCTTCCTTTAGCCACAGACTTGACCATTAAGTCCACAACAATGTGGAATTCCCTTGCTTATGAAAAACATCTGCAGTCGTATATCATGTTGGCATTCACACTGAGGATGGTTGGAAGCAGAAGAGTCTGGCATCACAAAGACTCCCACTTGTTTGCCAGCCATTCTGGCTATAGGAAGCCTGCCTACAGTAATCTACCAGTATACTTAGAACATTTGCTGAAGTAAGAATATGAATATGTTCGGTTTTTTAGGAGATTCTCATAGCAGAATTAACATGATCATGTAGGAAATCACACATGGAACTCATTTGTTCTTCCACTTTAATTTGTTAATGACATCATCAAGAAGCCTAAGAAGAAATTGCTTAACTCTACAACCTTCTTAGGCTAAAGACCTGCAGCCAGCAATGCCTGTATTCACTAGGTTAAGGATTCAGGTAGTGAACACTTGTGATCCTTATTGCCATTTGGGATAAGAAATTTGATTAGGGATAGAACTAGACAGATCAGAAAGGTAGCAGAAGATTTGAACGATATTATAAAACAACTAGACCTAGTAGACCTATCCAGAACACTCCACCTAACAACAGCAGAATACAGATTCTTCTTAACGGCACATGAAACATTATCCAGGATAGGCCATAGGTTAGGGCACAGTCTCAATACATTTAAAAGTGTTGAAATCCCACAAAATATGCTTTCTAACCACAGTGGAAAGAAACTAGAAATCAAAAACAGGAAATTTGGGAAATCCTCAAATGTGGACAGTAAACAACACATTCCTAAATAACCAGTGGATCAAAAAAAGAAAACAAGGGGCATTAGAAAATACTTTGAGATGAGAAAAAACAGAAACACAACTTATCAAAACTCACAGAATTCAGCTAAAGCAGTGCTAAATGCTAAATTTATAACTAAACATTTATGTTAAGAAAGGGAGATCACATATTAATAAAGTAACCTTCCACCTTAAGAAACTAAAAAAGGAAGAGCAAACTAAACCCAAGCAAAAAAAAAAAAAAAAGGGAATAATAAAGATTAGAATGGAAGTAAATGAAATAAAGAGTAGAAAACAATTGAGAAAATCCATGAAACCAAAAGTTGGGATGGAACTGAATTACAACCTCAAGCTAAACTGCCCCCATCCCCACAGAGAAGAAACAAATTACTAAAATCAGGATGAAAGAGGGGTCATTACTTATAGTCCTTATAGAAATAAAAAAAAAGATAATGAGGGAATATAATCATATACCAAAAAATTAAAACCCAGATGAAATGGACAAATTCCTGGAAGCACACAAACCACCAAAACTGGCTTAAGAGGAAACAGAAAATTTGAATAGAACTATAACAAGAAATTGGGTTATTAATAATAAAAAAAAAAGCTACCCACATAGAAAAGCCCAGCCCAATTATGTTCACTGGTGAATTCTGCCAAATATTTTCAAAAAGAATTAACAAAAGTCCTTCACAAACTCTTCCCCACAAAAAGAGGAGAGAACACTTCCCAACTCATTTCATGAGGGCAGTATTACTGTGATACCAAAACCAGACCAAGATATCACAAGATAACTATGGACCAATATCCCTTAAGAACACAGACACAAAAATCCTCAACAGAATACTAGCAAGGCAACTCCAGCAGCATATAAGGATTATGTACCATGACTAAGTAGAATTCATCCCAGGAAGGCAAGGGTTTTTTCAATATAAAAAACCCCCCAAAACAAAAAACAACAATGAACATAATATATTGCATAATAGGATAAAGGACGAAAATCACATGGTTATTTCAGTAGAATCACAAAAACCATTTGACACAATCTAGCACTCTTTCATGTTTAAAAAAAGTCTGAAAAACCTAGGAATAGGAGGGTACTTCCTCAACTTGATAAAGGGTAACTATGAAAAACTCAGAGCTAGTATACTTAATGGTGAAAGATAGTGCTTTCCCCTAAGATCAGGAAGAAAACGAAGATGTCCACTCTCACCACTTCTCACCATCATTGTACAGAAGGTTCTAGTTAAGGTAATTGGACAAGAAAAATAAAAAGCATCCAGTTTGGTAAGGAAGATGTAAACTATTAGAGCTAATAAGTTCAGCAAGGTTGCAAGTTAAAAGATCAGGATTCAAAAATCAGTTGTATTTCCAAATACCAGTAACAAACAAACTGAAATGAAATGAAGAAGGCATGCTACATATAATATCAAAAATATGTAGTAGGATTAAAACAAAAAGAAATGCAAGAGCTGTATGGTGAAAACTATAAAACATCATTGAAAGAACTCAAAGGGAGACCTAAATAAGTGGAAAGACACCCTGTGTTCATGGATTAAAAGACTTAATATTGTTACAATAGAAATAACTTCCCAAATTGAGCTACATGTTCAATGTAATCCCTATCAAAAATTTCAGCTGGACTTTTGCAGAAATTGACAAAATGATCCTACAATTTATATGAAAGTACAAGGGTTCCAGCACAGCCAAAATGATCTTGAAAGAATAGAGGCAAGTTGAAGTACACCTCCTGATTTCAAAACTTAAAAAACAAAGGTGTTTGTTTGTAGTAATCAAAATTGTGAGATGCTAACAAGGATAAACATGTAGACCAATGAATAGAATTGAGAGTCAAGGAAAAAACCCTTACATTTATGGTCATTTGGTTTTCAACAAGGGCCTCAAGACCATTCAATGGGGAGGAAATAATTTTAACACATGAAGCTGGGCCACCTGGAAAGCCACATGCAAAAGAATAAAGTTGGACCCCTACCTCACACCATATATAAAAATTAACTCAAAATGGATCATAGACCTAAATGTAAGAGCTAAAAGTATAAAATACTTAGAAAACATAGGCATAAACCCTTGTGACTTTGGATTAGGCAGTGGTTTCTTGCAAACCAAAAGTACAAACAACAAAAGAACTAGATAATTTGGATTTCACCATAATTAAAAACATTTTATATCAAAGGGCACTATCAAAGTGAAAACACAACACACAGAATGGGAGAAAATATTTGCAAATCATGTATCTGTTAAGCAACTGGTGTCTAAATCATAACCCTTAACAGTAAAAAAACCCCAAGGGCCTCAATTTAAAAATTGGATGGACATTTAAAAAAATGGTAAAGGATTTGGATACACATTTTAAAAAATTCACGTACAATTAACATAGTGTTATATTAGCTTCAGGTGTGCTACATAATTCAACAATTCTATACATTTCTCAAAGCTCAGCAAGATAAGTGTGCTTTTAATCCCCTTTATTTATTTCACCCATCCCCCTACCCATCTTCTCTCTGGTAACCACCAGTTCTCTGTATTTAAGAGTCGAGGTTTTTTTGGTCTTTTTTCCCCTTGTTGTTCATCTGTTTTGTTTCTTTAGTTCCACATATGAGTAAAATCATACGGTATTTGTCTTTCTCTGACTGATTTCACTTAGCAACATACCTTCCAGGTCCATCCATGTTGTTGCAAGTGGTAAGATTCCATTCTTTTTTATGGCTGAGTAATATTCCTCTGTGTGTGTGTGTGTGTATCTCCCATATCATCTTTATTCATCTATCTTGATGGACACTTGGGTTGCTTCCATATCTTGGCTATTGTAAATAATGCTGCAGTAAACATAGGGGTGCATGTATCTTTTTGAACAGTGAAGGAAATCAACAGAACAAAAAGGCAACCTACTGACTGAGAGTAAGACTTCTGCAAATGATATATCCAATAAGGGGTCAATATCCAAAATATATAAAGAACTTAGACAACTCAACACACAAAAAACCCATATAACCCAATTAAAAATGGGCAGGGGACCTGAACAGACATTTTTCCAAAGAAGACGTACAGAGGGCCAACAGACACATGAAGAGATGCTCAACATCACTCATCATCAGGGAAATGCAAATCAAAACCACAATGAGATACCACCTCACACCTGGCAGAATGGCTAAAATCAACAACACGTGTTGGCAAGGATGTGGAGAAAAAAGAACCCTTGTGCACTGTTGGTGAGGATGCAAACGGGTGCAGCCACTATGGAAGACAGTATGGAGGTTCCTCAAAAGATTAAAAATAGAATTAATATGACTCAGTAAGTGGACTACTGGGTACTTACCCGAAGAAAAGAGAAATTCCTTTAAAGAAGATCTATAAATGGTCAATAAACATATGAAAAGATGCTCCACATCATTAGTCCTTAGGGAAGTACAAATCAAAACCACAATGAGATACCACTAGGATCATTATAATAAAAAAGATGGACAATAACAAGTGTTGACATGGATGTAAAGAAATTGGAACCCTTGTACACTGCTGGCTAGAATATAAAATGGTACAACCACTTTGGAAGACAGTTTGGCAGTTCCTCAAAAAGAGATACCATATGACTCAGCAGTTCCACGCCTGGCTCTCTCTATATACAAGAGAATTAAAAAGTACGTCCATACAAAAAACTTGTACACAAATGTTCAGAGCAGCATTATTCATAAATAGTCAAAAATTAGAAACAAGCCAAGGGTCCATCAGTTGATGAATGGATAAACAGAATGTGGCTCTCCAGACAGAATATTATGCAGCCACAGATGAAGTACTGATGTATCTACAGCATGGATGAACTTTGAAAATGTGCTAAGGTGAAAGAAATCAGATACAGAAGGTTGCGTGATATTGAAGGCTTCCATTTATGTGAAATGCCAAAGGAAGCAAATCCACAGAGACAGAAAGTTGTTAGTGTTTGTCAAGGTCGAGGGGGAGGAGAAATAGAGTGACTGCTGATGAGTATATGGTTTCTTTTTAGGGTGATGAAAATATTCTGGAATTAGATAGTGGTGATTGTTCCACAACCTTGTGAATATTCTAAAAATCACTGATTTGTATACTTAAAAAAAAAAAAGTGTTCTGTTTCCAGTGCATTCTTGCCTCATGAAGATGCAGAGCTGAGTGATTAAATTCAGCCACCCATTTTCATTCCACCAGGTCTTGGTGCGAGGTGAAAGGTATCTCTGTGATAAGTTTGTAAGGGGGCGAGGGGACACACGTGGACGTGACATTTTACAAACTTTGGCAAAACACTTCTACACCTCCTCCTTTGCAGGAAAACTGTTCAGACTTCTGGTCATTTGGGGGTCTCTTTATCTATCGTTACCTGCCTTAATTCCCTGTGGTGTCTGTGTGTTGTGTCTTTGCAGTGCCGATGGGGAAGTGAAGCACTGTGTGATCTACAGCACTGCTCGGGGCTATGGCTTTGCAGAGCCCTACAACCTGTACAGCTCCCTGAAGGAGCTGGTGCTCCATTACCAGCAGACATCCCTCGTTCAGCACAACGACTCCCTCAACGTCAGGCTTGCCTACCCTGTCCACGCACAGATGCCCTCACTCTGCAGATAAAGAGGGAGTGGGAAGAGAGGTCGCTCTCTAGCATTTTTTTCCTACAGTTTTTATTAGACTCTGAGGGCATTCTTTCTACGTAGACTGCTTGTTTTGCACAAGAAGTGATTCTGTGAATGTGGAGAGGCCGAGCGGCAGCTGGCCAGGATGGGGGCACAAGAGGCCTGAGGTTCTCTGAGACTCAGCTGGGCCGCTGCACTGACATAGGAAGCTGGAAGCAGATGTTTTTTTGGAAAGTCTGTTTCATTGGGGCTTTTGTTTTGTTTAGCCAGGCACCCTCAAAAGAACACATTAGGTTTGATGGGGGTGGGGGGTTGGAAATTTCTGAAGAGTCCACGTCCTCTCTTGGTCTTTGTCTCTGGGAATGTGGCAGGGGCATGGCTCTGTGGGGAGTTCTGTTTTGATCTGGCGATCTCTCTTAACTTCTTCCTAAAATGAAGGCTGTTTTGGTTCTGTGGTAGAATGGCATTTGGTGAAAAAGACAACCAAAGGAAAATGGGGAGGCTTGGGATTTCATTGAGAGAATCTTAGTCAAGGGGGTAAAAACACCTTCAACTGAAGGTACTTTACTAACATAAGTTAAGCGTCAACATCTCAGTAGCTCCTCCCTCTAAAGAAGCATTATGTTTAGAAACCAAATTGATCTCAGCAGAACAATGTTTGTTGCCAGACTAAGGTTTGATGGAAGAAGACAGCACTAGTATCTGAATGCACACTTCTGTACCAAAACTTGAAAGTGAAAGGAAAACTAGAATTTGTTAGTTTTAGCAAACACTAAAATTGGTCAGTGTAACTCCTGCCCTGCCCTTGTTTCTCAGAGATGAGAAATAGTGTTCTTTTTGTGGGCATGGTGAACTTTGAATCATAAAATGAAGTTGGTGCTTGTGTGGTGTTTCCTTAGCCTAAAGAATGATCTGTTGTTGAAAATTTTTGTAACTTGTTTGTATGAGTAAAGAAAAGGTGCAATCCAGTGCTTTTAGATGGCTTGATATACCAAATAATGATATAGAACAACAGTCTTATATGTGCTTCCCAAATTTGAAGGCCCTGCAGAAACAGTAAACATGGTTTAATTTCCCTTCATCTCCCTGTCCTTTGTTGGGTAGGGCTTAGGGGAGCCATGGGTGGCAAAGGTTGTAGCAGGAAGGGAGCCTGACTGTTGTCAGGGACCGCGGAGGCTCTGGTGTCTAGGGTGAGGGTCATCCACATTACCCGTGTGCTTCCATGCAGTGGTTTCTGAAACTTTTGTAAGGAGAGGAAATAATGGCTTGGAGTTTATAGACTGTTAGTAAAAGCCATCTGGAAGTTTTTCTCTTTGCCATTTTTGTGAGCCTGCCATTAAGATGATGTGCACAGACGGTCCTCATGCTCCAGTGGCCCTGATTTTAGGCCAGGAATCTTCCGCTCCATGTGGTTTAAGCCTTCCAGCTGAGTGAAGCTAGGCGAATGGAGCTGGGGGCAGGCATGTACTCCTACCTCCTTTATGCCCCACCCCCATCAGTCAACACTCATTCGACAAATAGAGTTCAGCTGCCTCTGAGCCAATGCTGGAACCATAATAGGCTCAGAGTGAGTCAGCTGTTTGAGTCCAAAGCTGTGCAGTCAGGCGTCCTGGCTGAACTAGAGAAGCAGCCAATATCTGGGTCTTGGTACATAAGGTTTACAGCTAGGAAAGCTTTAGTTATGGAATGAAAAAAATAAATACTGCTTTCCCTGAGCACTTATCTTGGTGACAGGGTCTAGAATGGACCATGATATAAAAATAGATTAAAAATTTTGGAAAAAGCTCTAGAGTTACTAACAATGAGGATAGGAAGGAAAGGGCCTATCTTCGGCTTTTCTTTGGTTCCATTGCAGTTTCAGGATTAGGCGAGGCAGACAAATGAACCCATCCTTCCAGTGTCATGTTCTGACTTAAGCCCTTAGCTGAAAGCCAGCTGCACACCTCTTCTCCACATTGCCAGGCTGAAATCTTAAAGGTTTTACTGAGTAATGTCAGGCTAGTTGCTGCTGGATGGCCTTCCACCTGGTGTTGAACCTGCTTAAGCAGTTGGATGCTCCAGATTGGGTGCAAGAAACCCCTCCTTTCTGGTATTAAAATTTAGTGTGTTCTGACTCTCTTTAAAATAAAATGGGAGTAAGGATGCACGCCTGTGACCTTGAGCAGTGTGTTGCTCCTTTTTAGGCAGATACAAAGGGTGCGTGGGGAGGGAGCTAGGACCATCTAATACCTAAACTTACATATAAGGACTGGCTTGTGGAGAAGGACTGCTCTTTTTTTAATCCTATATTCCTTCACTTTTTCTTTCCTATTTTTCATTCTTGAATTTGTTGCTTTGTGGGAACTAAGGATCATTTGAGAGGTTGGAAAGTATCTCTTCTGACTAGTTGCCATATGATTTGCTTGATCCTGAGCCAGTGGAAATGGCATAGGGACCAATCTGCTAACCACATGGAGGGGCAGTATGCAGCTCCTATACTTCATGGTCTTGGCGGCCTTCATCTGAGCCTAGCTAGCTCTGTGTCCTGTCCCATGATTTAGGCCCTCGGACTCTTTCTCTCTTGGCATCCTAACTGCAGCTTCACTGAAGCAGAGAGTAAAGAGACAGACTAAGACCAGGGGGCTCATTGTTTTTCTGGCTGGGGAAGCCAGCCACCAGCATGGAAGCAGCTTGAAGCTGGCTGAACACAGGTCCTAGGCCCATCTTTTCCGGGTGGAGATTTCATCACAGAACAATGGTCTCTGTCTCTTCCTGATCATAGATGGTAAATCTTGGCCAGGGCTCAGGACTGTATAGGCTAACTGTGTCCTTACCACTGATTTGGCCAAGGTTGAGGACTTCTAATACCTCCCCTACTCCATCTCCAAGCCTTGATGGGACCTCCCACTTACTTTGGACCTCATGTGCTCTAAAGAAGCATTGATAGCCAATGTGGCGTCTTCCATAGGTCTCCTCTTCTTGCTGCAAGGAACCAGCCTCATGGGTCCTCTTGGCCAAGAATTGCATCTGGACAATTCCTGGTTACAAGGTGGTCTCTGTTGCCAGTTAAGACTCCAGAGTAGGCCTCTGTGAGGCTTCTGTGGCCTCAAAGCAGAGGGTACAGATGGGGGCCTGGCTGGGCTCCCTGCTGTCAGCTGCTCATCCTTTCCCTAGCTCTAGCCACTTGTGACAACCTTGTTTCCTTACAAATTCCAGCATGTGACTTTGGTGCCCTGTTGTTACTTGTGAAAAACCTATTCTTCTGTTGTCTTTGATGTAGTTAAAAAAAAACAAAAAAAAAAAAACCACGTAGTTTACGTAAAAATATCTGATTCACAAAGAAGCCAACTATATGTCTTGTGTTGGGACAGTTCATAACGTAGTTCCTAGACCACTTTTGCAAATTGTTCTTGTCACCAGATGTGTTCAGACATTGCTGTGCAGTTGTGGGGAGGGTGGGGGGTAAGCGAGGGGAGATACTTTTTGGTCTTTTGTTTTTTTATCTTCCCCAAGAGGGGACAGTCTGGCCAACTTGCTCCAGTAATGCAATAAAGACATTGCAATAAAGCACCTTTTTGTCCTCATGCTATGGAGGGGTGGGCTAGGGGTGGGCCGCAAGAGGAGGATTAGGCTATTGAAAGCCCTGAAACTCCCAAACCTCTCCCATGAGCACCAAAAGATTGGTCCTGGGGCTGAACTGGGGCCACCAGAGGCACTCTTCCCCTGAACAAGAGAAGCTGACCCTAACAGGCATGATGCCAGCATCTTGTCCATCCAGCACAGGACACAGTGAGACTCAGAAACTAGTCCTGAGAAAGTTAAATCTGAGAGCGCTTTCCTTCTCACCCCATTCTGAAGTATTAGGAATCCAGCTTACTGATTCTCATCACATCTTTCTGTCTGGAAATAAAAGTATTTCCATAGTCTATTCTGGGGGCAGGGAAAATGTTTGTTGCCCAAGGCCCTTGTCACCCTCCTGCCACAGCACTTTGTTACGGTTTCTATATGTCAACATAATTAACAAAATGTGACCACCTCTTTGCATAGGACATTGTAGTTCTCATGTAGTCTCTCAGGCCCCACCCAGGTGTGTAGTGAATTATAAATCAGACTGGGTAGGGGATAGTCCATTGCTCTAAATTATCTTGCCTATGTCCTTTCTCCCCACTCCTAGGAACTATAGAGGATTTCCCCAAATCCCAAGAGTTGTTCCTACTCTTTGCATAGGATGCTCAAATTCCTGTCTCCAGCCTAGTCCTGTCTTCTGAACTCCACCTATTGGCTGGATAGCTCCACTGGGGCCTTGAGTGTCCCACAGGCATTGCAAACTTTTTGTTTACAGAGAAAACGTATGCGTGGCTATGAATTCCCTTACTTTTCTACCACCAAACCTACAAACCTGCCTATATCCACATAACTCCTCTGCCTCTCACCTGTTAAAGTAGCCCCCCTCCAACTAAAAGCCAATGTTTCCACAATCTGTATAATTTTGTATCCTGTTTTCTCCCTTCTTCTCAGGAATTTCCCATGATCAGTTGTCAATTCTTTCACTGTTGTTTTCTCTCAACCGGATCATCCATTGACATTTAAACATAGTTGAATGTGTCTCACTCCACTTCCTAACCTCTACTGAATCCTGTATCCCTTTATCTCTTTGCCCCTCTTCAAAGCCAAACCTTTTTACAAAAACTGTTTAAATTTGTCTTTATTTTCTCTCCTCCACCATTTCGGTACAGGTCCCACCACCAGCTGAAACTGCTCTCCTTCCTTGAGGTCTTCAATAACCATCATCCTTGACTCCTTGCCATGAAAAACTTTCCCGTGGACTCCATGATGACTCAACATCTGGTTTTCCTCCTAGATCTCTGACTGTTTCTTTTAATTCTCTTGGACGAGGTCTTTTCCCCTGGCAATTTTATCCACATCCATGATTCCATCTACCATCTTTAGGCCATTTATGTCTGTGTTTCTCCTGCTCAATCCTCTATTGGGAGGTACCTCACAGCATATTGAATGCAGGGTCACCACCTAGCCCAGGTTCTCTTTCATTATTTCACATTTCAGTGGTAGTACTATATGCCTCATTTGGTTATGTAAGTCAGAAATGCAGTCATCATCCTTGAGAACTTCCTATGTTTCAGGATGACATAATACACACCGACAACCTATATCAATTTTATTTCCCAAATGTCAAAGACATTACTTCTCCCCAACTTCATTTCTTCACTACTTAATACTGAACAGGCCTCCCTTCTTCCATAGTTGCCCCCCTCAAGTCCATTCTCATAACAACCAGTTATCTTTTCAAAATACAAATCTGAACCTGTGTAAAACCATTAACTTTCAATCACTCTTAGGGTAAATTACAAAATTCTTAAAGTGGTCTGGTTTCTCCCAAGTTTAGGATCTCTTCCCCTACTTCATTACTCTTCCAGATCCTTCCCTTCAGCCAGTCCCAATGTCTTGGGTTTTTCTTCTGCATATTCTCTGTACAGTTGCCATCTATTTCTATGGCCTTACTGTCTATTTGCTGATGGCTGCCAAATCTGGGTCTGGCTCCTACATGGTTCATTCTCAAGTTTGTCCTAGTTCAGATCACTATAACGCATCACTACATCATTTTCTCTCTGCTCTGCGAATTCCACTAGAGCCTCCTTACGCTGCAGCCAGCGTCTTCCTAAAACATAAATGTGATTATACCACTTCCCTGCAGTTATCGTTCAGAAACCCCTCACACTAATCTGGCGGTGTTTCTCAAAGGGAGCACCACTGGCACTTGGGGCAGCTGCCCTATGGTTTACAGGAGGCTTAGCATCTCTGTGCCTCCTCCTTCCCCCACCTCCCCACCCCCCATTTCCAGCTCCCTAAGGGGGCAGTTCCTTTCTCACAGGAACTGTTGCAAGATGTGCCTACCCCACCTCCTTCACCTTTGCTATGGTGCTTCTAACCAGATCCTGATAAACGTGGGAGGCTCCCCAAAGCAACCAGTTACCTGTGTTCCCAGCATCCAGTACAGGCTGGCTGAGGGTCTGCTGCCAGTGAACGACTGAAGGAAGAAGTGAGTTCAAGAAGGGACTGAAGGCTAAGGGGCCAGACAGCTACTTGTAGATGGGCCATGGGCAGGGCACGCCCTCTGGCGGCCACAGCTTTCTCCATGCAAGGTTACAGAGGCTGCGGGGTGCAGGAGGCCCCCAGCCAGTGGCCCTGAGGCATCCCCCGCACCCTGTCTCCAGGCCTCTGGATGCCTCTCTTTCAAACCTAAGCATTGGATTATGGGACAGTTAGTGCAACACCACAGTTTGAAAAGTCCTGCATCACCATGGAGGTATTCCATCACAGCCCTACTCCTGCCCCTGTGATGCCGTCTCCTGACTCCTCCAACACAATGGTCCCATAGATGTCCTCCCCGCTCCCACACCATCCACTCACCCACCTGCCAATGCTGAGGTGTCCGCCTCAGCGATGTCCACCTCCATTGGTAAGGCCTGCCTGACGAAAGCCCAGGAAGGGTTCAATGACTACAAACATTAAGGCAATTCTGTATTTTCATCTTAAGTGGGCCTTCAACATTTTAACAAGTAACTTCTCCATCCATTTCAAAACTCTTCCCTCTCTTGGATTTTAGGACTCTTTTCTAGATGCTTCTAAGTCTTCTTTGACTTAAATGATAGTGTTCCTCAGTGTACCACTATTGATGCATTGATGGCTCTCAAATTTCTCTCTTCAGTCCAGATTTTCCTATTGAGTTCCAGGCCCATGCATCCAGTTACCTTCTGGATGTCCATCAAGTACCTCAAATATATTCCAAGTTTAACTCCACCTCCTTCCATCTTTTTTACTCATTTTCTGGCTACGAAGCACTCCAACTAAGAAGATAAAGGTGGTTTCTGGAGTCGAGAGACCTAGGTTCTAATCCTAGTTCTGCCCAAGCTATGTTACCATCTGAAAACCTGAGTTTCCCTCCTCTATAAAGCAGAGATATTAGTTGCTACGTGGTCTTCCATGGTTCCCCATCACCGACAGAAAGTCTAAACTGTAAGTATCATTAAATATGGCCCTTGCCTAACTCACTAGACCCATTTCCACTTTGGTTTCAGTTCCTTGAATATACCAGGTATATGGTAGGTGCTGTACTCTTTGCCTGGATAGTCGGACTAATCCCCACTCTTCTAACCCATCAAACTACTACCTATCATCTGTTCTTCAGGTTTGAGCTCAGATGTCATAGTCTCTGGGAAGCCAAGTTGGGCTAGGTAACCCTCCCCTGACAGTGGAAAGTGTTATGCACCACTGTATTCCCAGCAGCAACATAGACCTTGAGTTACATTTGTGTTGACTGAAAGAACGAAGCAAAAGACAAAGATGGTTTCCAAGAGCATGTATTACACAGGTCTGAGTGCAAGAAATGGCAAACAATGGCTATGTTTGCTTTAAAAGCTCATCAGGTACCAATGCCAAGTCCTGATGCTTTTGAGGGGCCCCTGGCTCTCGGCCCCTCTGGAGTAGGCTGGGCCCAGGCTCCTGGGTGAGGGGGCAGCTTCTGCATGGAACGTCCTGCCTCGTGTCACCTGAGGCATCGGGCACTTCGGTGATGCCCAGGGCTGGCTCCTCTTTCTCTCTCTGTGCACCCGCGGGCTCCCACAGCCAGCTCTGGTGGGGAAACTCACGAGGTGGATGGACCAGCCCAGGAGCACCAGGTGGCCAGGACTTCCCCTCCTGTCTGGGAGACAGGTTCTCAGGGTGGGCTGGAGTTATGGTTTCCAAATCCTGGGAGCTGGCCATCCCACCTTCCATTGCTGCCTTTCTGCTTGGGGATGCCCCGTCTGCACCCTTGATAAGAAATTTCCAAGACCATGGGCCTGGCTCTCCAGAGGTGGAGGAGGCAGCAGAGCGACTGGTGGGGATAAGTCCTGAAGAGCTGGGACAAAGTGCTGTTAGTGCCTGGGTGTGGAAGGGCTGGGCCTTCCAGCAGCCTTCAGGAGGGATGGGGTCTGTGCGGCCAGCCTTACGTAGGCTGGGGGCCGCTGATGAGGAGCTGGCAGCCTCCTCAAAGGCTTGTGGGATCCCAAGCTTCCTCTGGGGGACACTAGGGCCTTCCATTCTGGGAGGCTTCAGCGTGACCTCTGTCAATAGGCCTGGGACCACCGGGCCCTGACTCTGGGGGCCCCTGGACGAGAAGGCATCCTCTTCCTCACCCTCTCCTGCTCCTGCGAGGGGGGGCACCCGGCCCACTGCCGGGCTTGGTGCCAAGCTGGGCTCCTGTACACCTTGGCCGTTCTCGGGCCCCTCCTCGGCGTCATCCTCGGAGGAGTCAACCTCACGGATGGCTTCCTGCTTCTGCAGGGACTCTCGCCGTTCAGCCCGGTCCTGTCGGAGGGTGCCGAGGGCCCATGAGGGAGAAGGCTGCAGCACCCCCTTCCCAGACAGCACACTCCTGGTCCCTACCGCCTCCAGAGGGCTGACTTCCCTGGGTGGCGGTTCCTTCTTCAGCTCGGGGTGGGGCAGGTCCAGGCTATGCTTTCGAGCAGTGCCTAGCTTCTTCTCTGAAGCAGCAAGCGCAGCTGCCA